ATTTTGCCGTATGAGTATACGTTGCCCAGGGTGCACCACGTGGAGGTAAGTCTATCGCACACCCCAACTTGTTTATTTTAGTATTTGGCTTTGCACACCTGTGTTGTAGCAATAAGAGCCATAGTGCCAAGAGAAGAAAGACAAATATGCAGTTAGAAAAAAGGTGTTTCACATTTTAATGAAGAATGAGCTGAAATGAGAGCTTAATTCGAGATTCTATCTGTGTATAAGCAATTGCCGTAGACCACATAAAACACATTATGCGCCCCAAAGGTCTTGAATCTTCTTTAACTCCAATCATTCATACAATTTTTCCCCAATTTTTGAATTTTTTAAGTGTGGGGAACTTTGGGGGTCGCGTTTTTTTGAAGGTTGGAAGCTCTCTAAGGGGAAGGTGGGAGAGGGGGGGGGTAGTTTTCAATTACATTTTATATGCTACTCTTTTATGAGAGCATAAATGCCACGAACAGAAATATGGAGTATGGAGTGTCTATGCTTTCCCCGAACAAATCATTCAAATTAAAAGTTAATCAGTCACCAGGACACAAGAAGTCCGTTCATCGGTCACACATTTTTAATCTCTTTCCTTTTTTATAACTTTTGGGGATTTAAATGAAGGGATCATTTGGAGGGTAGGATGTTGAAGCTACTCTTTGTATGAGAAATCTCCTTTTGTTTGCTGGTGCAATTCCAATGCTATGAAATACAAAATCAGACCTACAGCGGTTAGTAACACTCGTACAGTGAAATCAGTTATCGTAGGTTCGATACCCAAGGGTGTACATTAAGGTAGTTATGCTTGATTAGAAGAGGAGGGTTTGAAAACGTTGGAGCATTTATTGTATCTCTTTTAATAAAAAACTATTGGCTGTATTTTGAATCTGGGATATACATTAGACCACGTGATATATCCCTGCGAGTATTACACCCATGGGGTAGGAAAAGGGTGAAATATGTACCTTTCGTTGTCAATCTTGTTAAACGATAGTCGGATAGTTAGTAAGTAATACGGGTCTCTTTTGATTCAAATTATCATTCGATTTAATCAACTGCTCATGCTTGGGTTAATAACCAAGATATGGCACGGAGTTCCCTAAATGACCTAATGCGGAAATGCACTTTTAAGAGCCAATTAACCACACACACGCCTTGTCGAGGAATAAAAAATTGTGTGCGATTTGTGCCATGACACTAGCAAGTCACGCAGATAGCCAAAACCCTCTTAGACGTCTACTAGCAGACGGTCTGTGCTGTTGCACTTGGGTTGAAAATAATTGTGAGATTATGTGTTCCCCAACCTCACTCACCCCCCTCTCTCCCTATCTGCATTTCATTTAAATTAAGTCTGACTCAGAATGCCATATCTTCGACCCATTCCTCTACCCCTCCCCCTCCCCCTCGCCCTCTCCTCCATCCATAATTCTTATGCCTTTGCCTTCTGTCGCGTAGACTATTTCTCATCTTGTCTCCTTTCACCTCCTCAACTCTCACCCCAACTCCCCCTCCCCGCCTCCTTCATCTGTTAAATAATCTCCATCTATTTGCATTAAATTGATTAGGTTAGGTAACTAGGTTTTTTCTGCTGGTGGTGTCTAAAATCCATGTCTGTCATTTAAGACCGTTCTCATGGCACCTGGAGTCGAAGCCGCAATCAATGTCAATTGGCCTAATTAACAAACACACACAAACCGCTGTAAATGGCTGTTTCTTTGTCCACACATCATTGTCAAGGCGGGTGGGTAATTAAAATCAATTTCAACCTTATTCTAGCTAATCTTGATGAAAAAAGTTAAATCCTGTGTTTTAAATTCATATCGTGTGTTATAATGCGGAGGGGGTTGGGGGGGGGGTTCAAATTTCAATTGTCAATTGTCCAAGAATCAGTGTCAAGTTGCTCCTGATTTTGCGTGATCAGGGGGTGGTAGCGAAATTCATGCGCTTGCCTGGTGCTATTATGATTTTCTTATATTCCAACCCAATGCCAGGGCAACTTCTTTCACAGTTTTTATTGAAGAAGGGTGGACAGGAGTTTGTGGTTGGCCCTACTCCATTTCATTTTGAAACTCGGATTAGGCAATATTTTTTCTTACTGGGCGGTTGCCTTTAAAAATTCATATGTGTTAAGATTCGTCACCTCGATTAACTAAGGCAAATCTTGTCATTGATATCAGCTGATCACCGGCAGCTATAAACCACCACAATGATTTGGCTTAATGTCAAAGAGCCCACTCGTAGTCTTAATTTAACAAAATTGCATTATCATCCAATGAAAGAGATAATGACTAGTAAATTGTAAGCATTTTCGCGCGACAATTTGCTACTGAACTTATCATCTCACCTCCTCCTCATCTCCTATCTCCCAACGTTTCTTTTCCCATTCCCCTTCTACTACCTCGGATTAGTAATTGCACTAGGCCATGGACATCAGGAAGGCGAACTGGGAAAGGGGATATGTTACCCAACGCGATACCTTCGGAGCGGGGAAAAAATAGATACGCTTCATCCGCTAATTTATCTTTTCCGAGTACTTTGCTTCCTCCACCAAATGACTCCTAACTAGATTTTTTTGCACGAATCTCTGTGCTATTCCAGCTTCACTGTAATAAAGAGGTAACGCTGTTTGTTTGCGAAATCTCTATTGAATGATTGAATAATATATAGCGGCGGGAAATATTCTTGTTTGGAATTTCTTCTTAAATTGATGGTGATAAGGACTCGAACTAGCTTGACTTAAATAGTAGGGCTGGTCGCTCCATTCACTGGAAATGAGCTGAAGACATTATCTAAAACTCAGCCAACTTCGTTTAGTTGCTTAGTGGTTAACGCGCGTGTCTACAAAGGTAAAGGTGTCACTTGCTTTAGACCTGTCAGCTTAGTAAAGCTGATTGGTGTTAAGGGTCAACCGCATTGATTATTGTCGGTCCAGTATTTAGGTGCCTTATTATAAACCGTAGATGTTACGTTTTTTGGGATGATTAATCCAAATGCCATATAATGGCGTATGTTTCAGTGTGTATTTATACAATCACTGCCAGATGGAGTAATATTAATCATATTAATGACATTAGTCACTTCCTCTGATCGTTTCGGCTTTTTACTCGTTGATTTTCTGCTAGCAAGTTCTTTTCTACACTCTATGATCAAATTCTGTACTAGGCAGTCTCTAATATTGCAGAATTTTTATACTTTCAAGCATTATCGTTATTCAAAGAACTGTAAGCAGAATTATATTGTTCAGTTTGAATCTCGTAAATGGATTATAAAATATATTACCTCTCCCCGTCTCGCCCGCCCCCCACCACCCCAAATTTCTTGTCTTATTATCTTTTTTTTATTAAGATAAAATCATCAAAGGTGATCACAATCTTGCCGATCGAGTTTGTTGCAACTAAGGTGAAGGGCCGCACAAACATCATGACATTTCGATGTAGATCCATAAATGTATAGAGGAAAGAAAAAAATAATAAATTCATAATTAAAATGTCTGTCCATTTTTAAATTTCCAACCGCGGACGTCAGAATGCGTAGAATAGTGAGCATAGAAAGTGTTGAAAGGCAATTTTTGAACTGTTTGCGGTCTCATGACTCCATAAGGAGTCTAAGTGGAGATCGACAATGATTTAACTTTTCTTATGTTAGGCAAAATGTATTTCGATTTAGAGCTCATTATTATTGGGTTAAATGGGGTGCGCGATAGACTTACCTCCACGTGGTGCACCCTGGGCAGCGTATACTCATACGGCAAAAAGGTCTATTACCTGGCAGTTGACTTCCGACTTCAAACTACCATCAACCTACTGCATTTCATATTCGAATAATTTCACAGTACTCACATCACCTTTAATCTACCTTTGTGTCTGTCTGTCTCTTTTACGTCTGTGAATCATTATTTTGTCGCCCCTCTCGACTTTTTGCCACTTTGGTGTTCCTCTTCCTTTCTGTGAAGCCTGAAGTCAACTAAAGGGCTAATGATACCTATCATAACGCCTGCCATTTGAAATAAATAAACAAATTATTGGGTTAAATTTTGGATTGAAAGTGCAATAGGACTAGCATTTTACGAGCTGGAAATTTGGATTTTAAAAACAGCTCAATTGGCCTAGCATAGCATAGATTTTGGTTATAGATTTTCATAATATTTTTTCCACTGAAAATTGCAATAAATTCAAGTAATATTGGTGATAGTAGGGAGTTATGTATTAAAAATCCCATTTTTTTGCGTAGGATCTTAATTTTGTGTGATCTGAAATAAATCAAGTATTACCTCATTGAGTTCCGTGGAAGTAATTTGCTTGAAAAGCAACATGTTCTCATTTTTTTTCTATTTTACAAACACTCTCATACCTTCATTTGAGGTTGAATTTCAAGGTTAGATGGGAGGAGAGTAGATTTTGCTCTTATCAAAGGCATCCTTGAACTACCTGGAAATTCACTAACCCTTTACTGTTCAGTGTTCTATGGGAACGATAATTCCTCATTGAACCATTTTCACGAAACGATTCATTCTAATACTCCTTAATTTGGGGTGTGCGATAGACTTACCACCACATGGTGTACCCTGGGCAACGTATACTCATACGGCAAAAAGTCTATCAATGGGCAGTTGACTTCTGACTTCAAACTGCCATGACCCCACTGTATGCCATATTCGACTACTTCCACACTACTCACCTCATTTTTTTCTACCTTTTCTACCATCTTCTGAAACACCCTTCTGTTCCCCCCCCCCACTCTCGAATTTGTTTCACCTTGATGTTCTTTCTCCCCTCTGTGAATCCTGAAGTCAACTAAAGGGCTAATGATAACCATCAAAACGCCTGACATTTGATAAAAATAAATATATATATATATATTTTGAAATATTTGATAAAAATAAATAATACTCCTTAATTTAATCAACGTAACAGAAATTAAGGAACCCTTCATTTCAGTGGTCATTTCCCCAACCTCACCTTCCAGATTCACATTTCTCCAATTCCCTTTTTACTGTTTAGCAACAAATGTTGGCTGGGGTGTGTGTGTGTGTGAGTGTGTGACTGCGCGAACGTAGCTTCTGAAGAGTGGCACGTTTGTCTGACTCATTAGAATGTGAGTGGAGTCGTCATCTCTACAAGGGATGACAGCCCATCAGTCAGAGAATGAATAAAATAACCCTACTTCACGTAAGAATACCGCTCTTGAGAGCGATGAAGAAGTACCTGATGAAACAAATCTTGGTCAAGACCTTGAATTAGACCGGGAAATGAGAAAGAGATAGGAGATTCACTTTTCAGCAACTAATAACTGCAGTAAGCTCGCATCAAGCCTACTCGTTTTCTTGTTTATTTCTTCCCCATTTCCTACCTCAGGATCTGCTCCGTCCATCCTATGTCAATTTCTTTCTCCCCGTTACTCTCTCTGCCCTCTTTCAATCTTGGAAAATGAACCCCTTTTTAGGATTCTTCATTCGACCCTGGTGACACCTTAACTCCAAAAATAATCAACTCGAAGTAATTTTTGCGTTTTATTGATCCCTTTTCATCTGGAATGTAGATTGAGTACACTTTGTAAAAGTAAATTCCAAAAGATGTGAATTCTTACGAGCACACCGCATTCCTCCCAATGAATGTTTTTTTTGAAGAGCAGATTCCCTAATGCAGACACTGCTTCCTTTCTTTTTCAGCTGCAAATAAAAGAGTTAAGTGGCCAATCTGCAAAGGTACTATGGCGTCTCCCCCAAGACATCGAGTGCAATGGAGAGGTGATGGGATTCACCATGGAGCTTAATTCCTCCTACGAAACTAACCAGCATATTACTATCTCTCCCGACTTAACAGAATACACTCTTACTGGTAAGTTATCATTCTGTCAGTACCTCCTTTATGTAACTTTCCTGAAAAAAACCCATACAGATATATAAGGCTACTATCTTTTCCCAGCATTCCTTCCGCCCACTTAAATCCCTGAACCCCACAAAAATCCCACCAGGCGTAAAGGCGGCGTAGAAACCAATAATGAGTCAGACTCCACCCACTTGGCTGATTTACACTAGCCCCCATCCCCACCCTCCCCCCTCCCCCACACTCCTCTAAATTCGATCTCTCTTTTTAATCCTCTAATGCTCAACGGAAATATTTATTTATTTATTTCAAATGGCAGGCGTTATGATAGGTATCATTAGCCCTTTAGTTGACTTCGTGCTTCACAGAAAGGAAGAGGAACACCAAAGTGGCAAAAAGTCGAGAGGGGCGACAAAATAATGATTCACAGACGTAAAAGAGACAGACAGACACAAAGGTAGATGAAAGGTGATGTGAGTACTGTGGAATTAGTCGAATATGAAATGCGGTGGGGTCTTGGTAGTTTGAAGTCAGGAGTCAATTGCCGATTGATAGACTTTTTTGCCGTATGAGTATACGTTGCTCAGGGTGCACCACGTGGAGGTAAGTCTATCGCACACCCCTCAACAGAAATATGGGAGGGGGGAGAGATAACATATCTCGTATTCTTTATTATTTAACTCATCTTCAATGCTGAAACTTGTGAGTCAGCCATAATGTCCCAGTTGGCTGCATTCCACCTCTTCCTTTCGGAAGATGAGTGGACGTCTGGCTTATCTTGAATTTGGAACTTTAGTGAACAAAGTGAATTGGAGGAATTTCATATGAATTAACTTCCTCTTTTTCTGCCCTCCTCTGTTTCCTACTTTCCTTCAAATTCTGTTAGAATAATTGTTGTGGCTCGCTCCAATTTGATGATATCTATGACTGGATAAAATTGGAATAGGAGTTATGCCTTTTGAAATTGTTGAACAGTTGAACTTATGAGTATCCAGTAAGTTAACTTTTCGCATTTTGCCCCCTCCC